CTCACACACACACACACACACACACACACACACACACACACACACACACACACACACACACATAGAGGCTCATATAGCAATTACCCACGATGCTTTTCCACCATTTTTTGCAATAACTGTCACTGGCAGAGCTTTGGCCTCCTTATCTGATTTTTATGAACATACTTGTAGGGATTATTGAGATTTGTGAAAGCAGTGCTGGGGAATGTGTAACAGAAAGAGAGAGGACAAAAAAAAAATAAAAATAACAGGGAGGGTGAGCGGAATAAAAGACTAATCTCCTGAGGAAAGTAATGAAAAATATAACTCACAGTCGAGCTCAGCTTGGAAAAGTTGGCTAAAACAAAACAAAGACCAAAGAGATTATTCGACTGACTTTTCCATGACGGATCCTCTCTAATTCGTTCATGCCTGAGGAGGTAAGAGATGCACAGCAGCCGCACTCACACAGCGAGGATTCATTTATGAAGTGACGTGTTGCACATCACGCACATTGCTGACATCGCTGAAGGAGCGCTAACGAGAAACTGAATTCTTTCGGTGAACTTGAAGTTACGAAGCACTGAAGTATGGATTGTCTCTGCCGCGGAAATGCGCTCTGACAGAATATGAATGGGGGGCGCAGTTTTTCCACTGCGGTAATCTGCTTTATACCGCGCGAGATTGCCAGTTTGGTCGCCTTCGGTGATGTTGCTCGCTGTGCGGATGGCCAAAGAGAAAAATTCGATTCGGGTTTAGCCGATTTGATAGAGTATGGATCTCTACTTATTTAAGAAGCATATCCCCAGACTATTGTGCATGAGCGTATATATGAGATGCTGCACAATGATGCCATTTTTATTTCCGAAATGTATATTTTATGAAATTAAACTAGTGAGTGAACACATCGTGAGATGGGACTGATTGAGTACAGACGCCAGGCCGCGAATAGAGTGGGAGCGAGGTTGTGGCATCAGGGGCCTCTGGTCTGCCAAGGTGCTCTGACAACTGCTGTCAGAGTGCTGGAGGCCAGGCTGGACGAGGGCAATGGCCTCACCATCTGGTGGGTGACAGCCAAAGTCACCCTGCGTGGAAGCTCCGTGCGGTAGGCGTGTCCATGTGGGGAATCTGCCTATGCCTGTCTATCGGTGAGTCATTCTCCTCTGCGTGCAGGACATCGACAACCACATCAGCATGTTTTGAGTGCTTGTGCATGTGTCCCCATCAACTGCTTCCAAGTGAGGTGAGCGGTATATGACATTTGTCTTCAGCATGAGAAATATCGAGAAAAAAAAGTGTTCAGCAGTAAAAATAGTTGGTGTAGGAATTGGAATAGTCTCCATGTGTTTCACAAATAGTCAGGTCTGGACATTTAGTCCTTGGGTTGATGAATGGGATGTTGTGGAAAGAGGTTCTGACTGGGGTACTGACCACTTCTCGAGGCAGCAGAGGGTCCTCCGGGCGACTCGCTAACAGGTTCACGGTGCCACCCAAAGGTGCAGCTCGGAGCAAAGCCACCACCTCTTCTTGAGTCTTGTCATTCAAGTCGACACCACCCACCTGCAGCACACACATGACTTATGAATGAACACCCACTGGAGGCCAGAAAGACACTTCCAAACATGTGGAATCAAATTGAGTGATCAGACCAGGCCCATCTTCAAATTCATTTCATCTATCATTTCCCATTAGAATTTTAAGTGAGATCTGCCATGAAATAAAACGAAAGCCATCGAGAAACCATTCAAGTTACTCATTTGGAACATATCCAAAACAATAACCGCACGTTTAATCTTTGTGATGACATACAGTATCTTCTGAATAATATATAGGGATGGCTTCAACTGTTTTCAAGATTCCTACCTCCAGAAGACGATCTCCGGCTTTTAGTCTCCCATCTTGGATGGCGGCCCCTTGTGGGAGAATATTTTTAACGTAAATAGGCGCACTGCCACCAACGGGGACATCTCTGGAGGTAATGCTGAACCCAAGACCTTCTGGACCTACATGAACATACAGGAATGAACACATTTGACATAAAAATAAATCAATCAATAAATAAATACATTTCAAAGAATCATTCTAGACCACACCCATAACTACAAATATGTCAGTCATTCAGCAACGTGTGAGATCATGCTGCATTAAATTGTTGAATAAGCAAAGAGGATTTACCGAAACAAAATAAACCACAACTTTGTTCCACTCATTCTTAATCCAAAATAAGAAGCTCTGTCTTCATTTTCTGCTTTCCAGCATATGCAAATGATCCTCAAGTATAATGAGATATAAAAAAAAACAAAAAAACCACAAACACACACGCACACACAGAAACAAAAACAACAGTAAAGGCTTAAAATCAAATCTGAGTCAATGTGCTCAGTCATGTAGACTTTAAATGGAATATGTATAATTCAGTGCTCCTTCCTTTTCATCCATCCTGACTCAAGATGTTCTTTCAAGTTTGGTGAATTTCACTGGATCAATTTGACGAAGCCCTTGAGCTCGATGCTGCGCAAAGCTTCTTTTGGTTTCAACAACGGTGACCTTTAAGTTTCGGCAAATGAATATGAATTGCTGGTCGAGGGTCAAATGGCTAAATGCAGTAACTGATAACTCCGAAGTCACATGACCTGACCTTTATTGCAGAGGAGACATGAATTTGTCGATAGAATCAAAAAGTTGTTCAAATGTCAGCTGGTGATTCATAACTGCATTTGGAAATCTATTGTGCATTCCCTTTTTTGCCAAAAGAGTATTTATTCATTTTCACGTGATAGATTCTACCCTGCATGATCTTGTGGCATTTAAAAGTCATTTGATGTGGTTTCAATGGGGCTTTTTCGGTTGCTAATGTTAGTATTCACCTCGAAGTAGCTGCTCATTTCACAAGGCTGTCAGCGCCTCTGATAGTCCATCATGACCTAGTTTCCCAAGTTCGACTTCTTTACAATCTGTCGACCTGTCACTGGTTTGGCTGACAGTGATTGTGTAAATGAAGACGAAGCGCAGCGAGAGCGGAGCGTGGCTGGAAACTTTCTTAAGGCGTCAGCGCGCAAACAAACAACGTTGAAAGAGGTTGCCCATGAAGGTATAAATTTCAGCTTGGCTGGGTGTGTGTTTGCTTCAAAATAATAAATAGGCTGTTTCATGTTCGATCTTTCAAACTGACGAGTTTCTTTGCTAAGAGTTACAGATCTTAAATTGAATCAAATTTGTGTAGGTGGACTTACAATACACAGAGGACGTGTATGGTGAAACCAATTTCCGTTTGCATGTTTACCCTCCGAGACCTGCACTCACGGCTTTAGTACTTGGAGCAATAAGTCAATGGCCAAAACTACAGCTCATTTAAAAGTGCATTACCATTCTGATGGTAATTACTGTGAAAACAGCCCGGCCCAATCTGAGCTAATTTTACCGTTTCAGTAACATGTGGGAAATAATTACTGCCCATTTGGAGTTAACAAATGGCTTGAACCTTAAAAACGAGGACATCCATTACAGGAAACACCATTGAAATCATAAAGAAACGTGTGTCACTGTGTTTATTTAAAAAAAAAAAAAAGAAAATAAAAAAGAAAGTAAAGAAAGAAACCGCCCAGGAAAGGGAATTATTTTACATTTGTTCACTATTTGGCAACAAGCAGGGCATAATATGATACAGTGGTGTCTTTTTGATAGCAGCGTCCTGCCTTGGGCAATATTAAATGTTGGAGACGAGGTTTCAGGTGTAATTGAACAATGAAGACCAAGTATTAATGGAGTCAAACTTTTCTTGAGCAATTTTAAGACCCCCCCCCTCCAAAAAAAATCTTCAAAACCGTCTGGACCAAAATGTTGACCATCATAATCATGACACCATCATGTAGTTCATTTGTTGGTTTTTACCTTTCTTCAGCTGGACGTTGAATCTGCGGCCTTTGCGTTTAACATAGGAGCTGCTGGACTGTGTTGTGCTTATTCTGCGCTGCAGGGAGGTGGATGAGGTGGATGAGGTACTCGAAATCAATGATTGCGCCGGTGTGGCATATCTCCGTCTTGGCTCCGGAGTGCTCCCTGCCAGGGACCCCTGTTGACTACAAACAGGGGCAAACAGGTTCGCTTTTTTTTTTGTTTTGTTTTGTTTTTTCAAGGGGGTTCCAGTAAAATAGACAGAGATGTGTCACAGACCTGGAGGTTCGCCCCCCTACGAGGCTAGTCCTGTCACCCGAATGCAGAGAGCCTTGGCTGAAGCGGACTCTGCTGGAATGAGGTGAGCTGAGTTCACTCTTGCCCGCAAGTATCTCGTATTGCCTTTTCATGGCGGCCGGGACCACATGAAAGAGGATGAGGGAGGAAGCCATCGCCTGCCTAAAAATGTTCTGGGCTCTGGGGTTGGTGCAGTGGGGAAAGAACATCACATATGGACAGAAATGCATTTGTCATAACAAGATAAGAGAGACAAGTGCAAAATGATATATTATAGCTCTGCAGATAGAAACAGGCAGGCAATGAGTAGTGTGTGGTCAGAGGAGATAAAGAGACTCTGGCTCAGCCTGGTAATGGACCGGTACCGCTGATTTTTCCAGGGGTCACCAACCCTTCTGAAATTGAGAGCTGCTTCTTGGGTACTAATTGTTGTTGTTGTTATCAATGCTGCAACCATACTGAGGTTACGTGGTTCAGAAAATGGACGGATGCAAATTCATCCCTGCTAAGACAATGATCATCCTGATGATTTCTCACAATTATCAACATTAATAATAATAATAATGAGTATTTCCAGTCTCAAAAATAGTTTCGTCTGTTTTGCCAGTGGCACTTAGCATATAGATGGGCTGGTCGGGAGCAAGTGCATGGGAGGGAATGTGGGGGTGCAAATCCAATACAGTTGCAGGAATACCATGCTGGGTCTCCCTCAATGTCACTGCTAAGACGGCACCGCCACAGCACACAGCCGTTCATTCAAACACAGCCACAAATATCCCTCCCATTTTCATTCATATGGAAATTTTCCAAATACCACCGAGACATGAATAATGACTAGCGGGTACGAGTGTGTCTATATGTCTGTTTGTACATCACACACGTGCAGTGCAATCAGCCTCCACCTCGGCCTAATTGAATGACAAATTACCCCATCGATAAATCATTCTGTCGGATCAAGTGTATCAAAATATTTACCCAAGCAAAACAATCTGCTGAGATCACTTGAAGAGCCCTTTTTTTTTGTTCCTCTGTGGGGTTCACAATCAAGGCAGGGGAAAGCAGAGAGATGGAGAAGTGTAAATGGGAGGGAGAGTTTACCTTCTTCACTTTAGTGAGATGTACAATTACAATCATACGCAATCTGATGTCGGCGTGGAGCGTGTTTGGCAGTGGAGGGAGGAATTTGGAAAAGCAAAACCGCTTTACAGTGTGCTCGAACGTGGCACGTGTTAAAAACACCCGCTCAAATTTTTACGGCTACAGAGGCACTCATGTAAAGTGAATGCTTTTGGAATGTGGGAGGAAACCAGAGAGCCCCGACAGAAACGTACATACTCTAAGCATGAGGAGAACGTACAAATGGCACACTGAAAGGTCACACCTGAGAGTTGAATGGACAGCCCTTTGCTATGAAGCGGATGTGCCAGCCGCGTTTCCCACTCAAAGCCGTCTTGATAAATGGAAATTATTGATACCATCTACTGGATGTCAATCAAATATAAGCACGATTATGTTTGAATGCAAAAGTCTGTTTTTAGAGACGTCATATTAGAGCTATTAGTTTGGACAGATGCATCTAATAAACTGTCGGGGCAATCCCACCCGTTTTTATGGCTCATATATTGCCCATATGTAAGTAGATATTACGTGCGAGTGTGCACATTCAGGCTTTGGACGCCGGTCAAGTGAGGTCAAAGGCTTCATCTTAAATCATCAGCCCACTTTAAGAAATGAAACGGGGGCATTGAGTCGGCGGATATGGAGTGTGTACGTGCCTAGTTTTAGAAGGTGAAGCGTTGGTCAACGACTGCAGGTCGCCAAGACCTATCCCTGTAAGGCCTGCATGTCGGGAATATTTCACTTTTATCGTGCAGGCACATTCAGGCTTTGGACGCCGGTCAAGTGAGGTCAAAGGCTTCATCTTAAATCATCAGCCCACTTTAAGAAATGAAACGGGGGCATTGAGTCGGCGGATATGGAGTGTGTACGTGCCTAGTTTTGGAAGGTGAAGCGTTGGTCAACGACTCCAGGTCACCAAGACCTATCCCTGTAAGGCCTGCATGTCAGGAATATTTCACTTTTATTGTGTGTGCTCCATGAAATATCCAATATAATATTTTGCAGATGAATACAACCTGCATGGGATGGTCGTGAAAAAATACAAAATGAGTTAAAGCAGTACTAACGTGAAGAAGTAAAATTACAGCTTAATGTTATTTTTTTTCTCCATGAAATATCCAATATAATATTTTGCAGATGAGTACAACCTGCATGGGATGGTCGTTAAAAAATACAAAATGAGTTAAAGTAGTACTAATGTGAAGAAGTAAAATTACAGCTCAATGTTTTTTTTTTTTTGTTTTCTTTGTTTTGGTTGTTTTTTACAATATCATCGCCTATTTGATCGACTTACCAAAAACATTTCTCATTCTTTAGTAGATAGGTGGTATAAAGAAACCTGTATGTAAACCTTTGCCTATGCCGTCATTTGAGAAAATGAATTGTGCCATAAATATAATGAGAACCGGTAGCCACAAAATTGCGCAGGATGATGTCGGACCGAAAGAAAACTGTAGCTTACTGTTCGAAGCGAAGATGACGTATATCTCCCTGGTTGATTCTGACAATGCAATCATTCTCTTGGAAGAGATGCTCCTGCTCTGCCTTGCCTCCACGCTCCAGACGCTTGACGAGCAAGCCCTGGGTTCTGGAAAGGATCGCACAACACATCAGAAATATTACATCGTTGAGATAAAGCATGTGGAAATTGCATTCTAGAAGAAATATCGACAAGTAAGAAGCCAATGAATAGTGCAACACAATGTTTCATGATGTAAACCCACACAAGCCAATAATGTGTCTTTTTTGAGCTTAGCAATACTCTACCACACACCCACATCACGAACCCCACAGTATTGAATTACATCTTTCAACTATGTAAAGATTTCTCTTGGCCTGCTGACTAACATGTGAAGCCCGGACGGCTCCTTTTGCCCACCCACGCTGTCTGCAGGCCGAGACGAACGACAGGACAACTCGTGTTTAAGAAATCCCCGCCATAGACTTGGAGGAGATAATCTTGCAGCTTCTGAGAGAAACGTGCATTTTGCCATCACCGGAGCTTAAGCCGAGACACGCTGATGTTGTAATAAATACAGTAAGCGCTCCCATGCCAGCGCCATCTCAGCAATCCCTTTTAAAAAGGGCTACCTTTACGTTTACATCCCACCCCATCAATTCCTCTTCCAAATAAATACACAAGTGAGCTCCTCAGGGATAACCATTTGGAAAGAGATCGCGTGTATATATACAAAGTTCCAGTCATTTCAAAAAAAGAAAAAAAAATCTGAGAATAAAGAATCTGTCGAGGCAATTTCTGGATTACCTGTACTCAATTAGTTTTTTTATGTGCTGTTTTTTTTTTTTTTTTCATGATCAATATTAAGAAAGAATGCACCCATTGCCTCATTGCAAGAAGAACAGATGTTTTGTTTTCATTTGAGGTTGACAACTGTCATTTTCTGCGGGAATGTAAATACACACGTGAGCTCCTCAGGGATAACCATTTGGAAAGAGATCGCATGTATATATACAAAGTTCCAGTCATTTCAAAAAAAGAAAAAAAAAAATATCTGAGAATAAAGAATCTGTCGAGGCAATTTCTGGATTACCTGTACTCAATTAGTTTTTTTATGTGCTGTTTTTTTTTTTTTCATGATCAATATTAAGAAAGAATGCACCCATTGCCTCATTACAAGAAGAACAGATGGTTTGTTTCCATTTGAGGTTGACAACTGTCAATTTCTGCGGGAATAGCAATTTCAAGGTCTTAATCCTTCGATTTTCATTGGTCTCATAAACAACCACTTGTAAAAAATGTAACCCTGCTTCAACGGCGATGTCAAGGGCAGATTTTCAGACCTCGTTAGCATTTCTGGCAAACAGGCCACTCTTAGAACATTGCCCTAATTGGCTTCATAATATGGAGATCCACGTTCACATGACGGACGGACTCATCTCGGCCCCTCGATGGGGGGTAAACAATTACATTCAAAGAAAATTAAAGCTCAGAAGAGGCACTATCGTCTTCCTCGCTGTTTGATAGCACGTTGTCAGGTTATCTCAACTATGTTGAACACAAGCGTAATTGGGGGTGCCTTGGAAGCGGACATGATTGCGCCTCATCTCAATAAGTGTTGCCTACACGCAGATTACGGCATTGGTAAACCGTAATGACTTGAGGAAAGCCAAAGGACACTTTGATCATTGATCGGTATTTCAATAGCGCAAAGACGTTCATTAGTTTTTGAGATGATTTTGTCGACTCACTGTGATGATAGTAATACACAGGCACCCACTTAGCTGTGGAAACCAGAGGAGTCGTAGCTAAATGGCATTTAATGCAGCCTTCAACTGTGAATTCATTAGATATGGACGCACGGGGATTTTGTGAATGCAAAATGATCTGAAGGCTCTGAGGAAACCGAGGAAAATATTTTCAACAGCAAAAAAGAAGCAGCATGCAACTACAGCTTGACTCCTTTTGATATATTCCAACCAGCGCTAAATGGCATTTAATGCAGCCTTCAACTGTGAATGCATTAGATATGGACGCACGGGGACTTTGTGAATGCAAAATGATCTGAAGGCTCCGCGGAAACAGAGGAAAATATTTTCAACAGCAAAAAAGAAGCAGCATGCAACTACAGCTTGACTCCTTTTGATATACAGTATTCCAACCGGTCCCATATTCTCCCTTGAATCAAATAATGCAATCAAGATTATTTTTATGAACACCACCGACGGCAACAAGAATAATAATAATCATCATCATCGTAAAAATAAATCACAGTCCTATTGCACTTTTCCGAATATTATGTTCGGTCTGTTTGGATTTGAAAGTGGCCGTGGAATGAACAGCTCATTAAGCAAAGAATGCATCTGCCTCTACATTTTTCGTGTATTATTGCAGTATTTAGGGCATTGTGTTCTTGGGCTATTTTGCTTGCATGCGTGAGATATTATAGTATTAGGGTGTGACAAAGTCTCTCAAATAATGCAATCAAGATTATTTTTATGAACACCACCAACGGCAACAAGAATAATAATCATCATCATCGTAAAAATAAATCACAGTCCTATTGCACTTTTCCGAATATTATGTTCGGTCTGTTTGGATTTGAAAGTGGCCGTGGAATGAACAGCTCATTAAGCAAAGAATGCATCTGCCTCTACATTTTTCGTGTATTATTGCAGTATTTAGGGCATTGTGTTCTTGGGCTATTTTGCTTGCATGCGTGAGATATTATAGTATTAGGGTGTGACAAAGTCTCTCAAGCCTTTGTCTGCAAAGCATAATTGCCGTGGCTGGATCACATGTGCTTTTGTGTTTACTGTCCGGATTTTGTTTGGCTATTTGACCCCCGTGGCCGTAGTCTAGACGCTAATGAATAAAGTTCATTGAGCCCAAAGCCTCTTTAACTAAAATATAACAAATGGGAAAAGGGCCACGTAAGCAAAGAATGCATCTGCCTCTACATTTTTCGTGCATTATTGCAGTATTTAGGGCATTGTGTTCTTGGACTATTTTGCTTGCATGCTTGAGATATTAGAGTATTAGGGTGTGACAAAGTCTCTCAGCCTTTGTCTGCAAAGCATAATTGCCGTGGCTGGATCACATGTGCTTTTGTGTTTACTGTCCGGATTTTGTTTGGCTATTTGACCCCCGTGGTCGTAGTCTCGACGCTAATGAATAAAGTTCATTGAGCCCAATGCCTCTTTAACTAGAATATAACAAATGGGAAAAGGGCCACATTATCAAGAATCTTATTGAAGGGTCGAAATAGCTGTTGGCACTGAACTTTCAGGTTGGCTTGCATGGAGCAGGTAAAGGCTCAGGTTGAAAAGTCCTACGGAGAAGTACAATTTACAACACGCTTTTATGAGATGAACAAGACTCCAGTTGATCACCAAATGTCTCGTGACATGAAAATATACTGCCCTTCATCGCTACCTTCAATCCTCTGATGCGGGATGTTTCAAGGTGTCACAGGTTCCGAGGGCGCCAATGGCAATAGATCAAACCTAAATATAGTTTCCCCAACACTAGCTTATTTATGCGCAGCAAGGGCATTGATGCCCCGAAAGAAACGACACCTATCCAATATTCATGACGGCCACGCCCCTCGACTTCAAATGTCATGCCACTTCATCTCCTTGCTCTGTCTTTCCGACTCATTTTGCCCGTCTCCCTTTCCGTGGAGCTGAGTAGTCACATTCACCTTGATGCTGCCTTGGCGAGCAGCGTGGATTAGTGTTATGGGCAAGCTTTTAGTTTGATTACATTTGGCTGCATCCAGCGTCCTTTATGTTTTTGCTGAAATAACCATGAACTCCGATACGCTGCTTATCGTGTGCTCTTTTTCAGTGACAGCATGCATTGGTCCCGTCTCCCTTTCCATGGAGCTGAGTAGTCACATTCACCTTGATGCTGCCTTGGCGAGCAGCGTGGATTAGTGTTATGGGCAAGCTTTTAGTTTGATTACATTTGGCTGCGTCCAGCGTCCTTTATGTTTTTGCTGAAATAACCATGAACTCCGACACGCTGCTTATCCTGTGCTCTTTCAGTGACAGCATGCATTGGTTCAAGGGAAAAAAAAAAAAACAATGGAAAGGCAGAAGAAAGCCAAATCACCTTCAAGGCTGAGCAGATATTATTGTGATTGAGGACAAAGGTTACAATTGAAAAGAAAACATAACAAGGCTTTAAAAACTGTGCAGCCAAGAGTAAAATGACTTGAATCTCTTTTTATTCCCGGGAAAAGAAATATTGTGGGTGAAGGAGGGTTATCTTTTGGCAAATAAATAAAGTTGAAGTAAATGTACCGCCTTTAATTGACTAAAAGCAATTCCAAAATCTGAGCTCGTTAGGTGTGATGCCAAGACTCCCTCTCTTTACCTGACATCTTGCGAACTGAATGGCACGATGTGGATCCCCAGCGGTCCTCCTTTATTGGACACTTCAACCGGCTTGAGCATGGCTCTGCAAAATGATGATGGATGGGGTGAGAGAAGGTGGGCGGGAGAATGTGGCGGGAGATATGCATGGAAAAAAAACACATAAATGACATCATTAAAGAAAAGCATGGTATAAAAATGGCATTGTCAACATGACTGGCTGAAGGAATTTATGGGGGGCAAAGGTTCGCATGGACTCTGTGTGGCATTTGCATTGTATTGTCAATGCAAAGTCATCCGTTACAAAAGTCACCCCAGTGAAAGACTTTCGTTGTCGACGATGGACTCGAATGGAGACTCCATTTAAGTGATTAAGATCAAATTGGTGTTAGAAACGAAAACAGGCTAATTGAGAAATGTGCACGTTATTTTATTTTGTGCAGATAAAGACATGAAGACAAATGAACAAACGTGACCGCGGTGCCTCTGTCCTATCTGGTCATTCTCATGTTGCGAGTGTGTTTTATTTCTCCATTTAGTGGTTTATGGAAATGCAGTTCTGCTTTTGTTTTGTTTGGCTTTTGCAGTTGCTTGGGGAATTCACAGCAGACAATCCATGTTTGAGCCAAATTAACTTTAGCAGGCAAATGTGATCACAAGAGCTTCGCCTCAGCCATTCGCTCACGTTCACGGCAACTAGCGTAGTTTTTCGCTGAACAAATGTCACAGTACGATGATGAAGTGTCGGCATCTGGTTGGATTACAGCGGTTTGCATTGGAAAACCATCAGAGATGTTCGGGATAAAATACAGAGTTAATAAGAGTGAAAGAACAGCTCCCTAATTCACATAATAAACTAACATTATAAAATAGGCATGAAAGTGAAAAAAAAAGATGGTGAGCATTTGGATTTTAACTCATTACGTGGCATCCATTGTCAGACCCTTCTTTACCCTAACACCAGAAAAAATAAAAATGAAAATACATTTAAGATGTACCTGGGATTGAATACTTGGATTCTTAAAAACTTTTTTTTTTAATGTGGCTTTGTGACTTTGTAAAAATAAAAATAAAAAAAGGTTCAGTATGGGGGTTACTCACTCGAGACTTAGCACAGGTGAATGGTCCAATGCGGAGTCAGCTCTCCCCACTGGCTCTATCCTTTCAATTCTTTGGTCATGTGTTTGCCTTGCCTCTTCCTCCTCCTAAAAACAAAAGAAGAAAATGAAAATACATGAGTAAAAAAAAAAATTTAAAAAAAGGCTATGTGCAAAAAGAAAAAAAAAAAAGACGAAAACCCTCCCATACTTTGCAATTTTGTCATTAGCGTTGTTCGGTCGTGTTTCTTTTTTTTTTTTTTTTTTTTTTTAATCTGCACCGGCTTTTAAATCAATTACCTGCTGGAACAAGTAAAAGCCTCTATACCGGGAAACTTTCAGGGAGGGAGACATTTAATAACACAGAGAACAATTGCAGTTGATTATCTGTACTTATGGCGAAGAAGGGTGAGGTTAATTAACAAGTAACAAGCGCAATATCAGTTGTGTGTTTTTGTTCAGACCACAGATGGGTGGTAACACACTACATGTGCGCCATCACTCAAGTAATTCACTGGAGGACTCCTTTTTACTGGTACCTGCGTCATATTATTCTGAAGCAACAGTAACCTTACTTGAGTAGAATTCTTTTTTGCCAATTTACCCACCTCTGGTTCAGACATCATACTGTATCCTAAAGACACCATTTGCTCCAGCACACCTTATTTCCCGACTACCTTCCTCTTTTTCTCTTTTTACTGAAATGTTAAACACATCCAAAAAAGGACTTGTGACTTTTTTTTTTTTTTTAATGGAAATTGATCCAACACTTTTCAAGAGGCAAGCGTATCTATGGCGACATACAGGGGCACCGTGAAACTAAATCAGTCATCCAGTCAGGCACACCTTTAATTATACTGTATGTCAGTTGAGGTCCGGGTTTGCCGGTGGGGCCATCATTCACAAGGCTTTTTAGAAAGGCCCCCTGAGGAGAGCTGACTATTTCCATGCATACATATGAAGTGGACAAAGGACCAAGCCTCCTGAGGGAATCCACAAAGACATAGCGAGCGCCATCTCAAAGCGAAACTCAATCATCGGAATAAATCTATAGGAAAATGCAACTCAGAGGCAATCTTTGACTTTCCAGTTGCCGAGTGAGTCATGGCAGAGCACCCTCTGTAAAATGGGTGCTCTTGTGAGAATATTGGACAAAATGAATGCACTGTAACTACTCCACAATTGACCTCATCAGACAAATAACACTGAAATGTAGGTGCTTTATATTTGCAGCTAATGTCATTTTACAGGATAGCTGCTGACTTCCTCCCTGGGTAACACAATGATGCTTGAGTGTCCTTGTGACCCGAAGCAGAAGGTGACCATCACCTTCTCTCAACTGCCAACCTTTGCTTATTGTTCATTTTTACTGAGCGCTGAGTGACAGCATGAGAGACAGCCTAAATATACATTCAGCTCTTTCCCCTTCAACTCCACATCACCTCTGCCGTTCTTTGTCTCTGTGTTAGTCTGAATATCTCCTGTCCATAACCTCTATTTCTCCTTTCCCTCGAGTGCTTTTAGCACCCCGTGGTCCCATGGTAACCAGTGGAGTGGGGGGAAAACAACAGGGCTTTTCAGATTGCAGTAGCACTCAGTCCAGGCTTGCTCTTTTGCCCTTCTTGCTTTTCTCTAATAAACCTTCTTCCTAACTCACCCAGAAACCTCCTTTATCCAATAGAGTAGGGAGGGGTTAGAGATCATTGCTGGACCCCTATAAAATCCACATCTGTGGCATTGGGAAAGAAGGCAAAATGTGGAGGTCGAGGCTTTATTGAGCAAGGGTGAATGTGAGAAAGGCGAGAGAGGGAGTGAATGAGACAAAGCTGCAAAGTGCAAAGTCTTGTTACCTTCAAATTGACTGGCAGGTTAGAAAGCTGAGAGGTGGAACAGGAGGTAGCAGCTGGGTGGAGAATCACTCGCACGTAGACACATATGCACACACACTCACATGTACAATAAAGTCCACTGTTTGGGGGATGGGACAAAGGCTGTGTTGAGGAGCGCCCCCCCCTCCTCCCAACAGCTCATGCACTGAAGGAAAGGGACTGTAAGTGCATACGTGAGTGTGTGTTGTGCCATTAGCCAGGGCCAAGTACAACATGTCGCTGTTCGGGGAGCTGGGGAAGAGGAAGGCACCCTCCTGAGCCCGTCTTTGGCATCAACGGCTTAACAAGGAAAGGGTGAAAGGTCATGAAGAATGGTGGGTTTCTGGTCCCCGCCCACCCTTAAGGGCTAAAGTCCACATGTGTATGTGTGTGACAGCTTCATGTGTTGAACGAGCCTCTCCGGCAGACCATCCCGGTCATTTATAATGGCCGGTCTGTGCCAAGCAGAACAATGCAGGCCAAAGAGCAGGATGTCGAAATGTCTTGGAATGAACAATAGATGTTTTCACTTGATGTAAACGTCGAGGAAGTAAGCAATTTACGGTGAGTAAAGCACCGACGTGTTGAAATATGCACAATGACACACTTTCACCTGCGTCCTGATACGACGGGTTCAAAATATTAGTTTAACTGGGTTATGTGAAATGGACCATATATTGTCAGCCTGCTAACGGCGGCAAACAATGGTTACAATGGGGCGGTGGAAAGGTGAAGGGAAACATCATAATTGTAGCGCCAGCCGGGCTGCGGTTAGCCTAAACACTGTATCACATCAAAGGTCCATACAGGACACCACATTGCGATTGTTATGCACTCTGGCATAGCTGTACGAAGACAAGCTGTTCGAAATAACTCTTCATTGATGCTCCTCCAACGCCACAAAACAATTAAACTCGGATTTTTCTTCGCGCCAGAATATTCTGTTTAGAGCTGCAGCTAAACAATGTTTTTGTTGTGGAAGGAAAGGTGTTCTAGATCAAGCTTGTGAGCATCAAAAGCATTAATCAACCCAGGATGGGAAAATCTCTTCCAATATGTGTCACCGTCAAAATCCTGTGCCGGATCTTGTATCATCTTGTATCATTCAAAACCAGAAGAATGCTGTCATTAAAGGTAAATGACTCCCCAAAATGGCCTCCATGATTGAGTTAAGACGTGAGTGTTGCACCCAATGACAGAGTCCCAAGCGTTTCCAATCCCCTTAACCCTTCCTTTACTGCCGGCATGTCATCCCACACCACCATTAAAACAACCCACATGTCATACTAACTAAGATTAGGTGACACTAAGTTATATTGATGTCGACCAAAAGAAAGCCTTTTTTTCCAAGGACGGAACCTGATCAGTGGATGAAAGGGTCATAATGGCCAATTTATCCTGAACATAAGTTCCTAAATAGAATTTACTGGCCGTGAGGATTTTGTCCATCTCCTTTAATTATTGTGAATTGATGATGATGGCCCTTTCGGTTTGCAGTGATTTTCTCACCTTGTGTTGAAATAACATTTTCACAAATGTTCAACTGAGTCCTTATCCGTTAATTTGTTTTTTAAGACATTAACTTTGGCGCCTGCCATCTCTCAAGGTGTGCAACAAAGGGAAGAATGACAAATTATAATTTGAAAGTACCGTATCTGTGAGCCAAATTAATAAAGTGGTTGCTCGACCTCTGTTTAACAATTTGTGATGTCCTTCAACTTACTCACGTTTTTCAAAATATTTATTGAGCTCAACATGATTGAAAATTAAGCAACATTACAACAACTTTTTGGATAAGTTATTAAGAAAATGTTTGGGGGCGCTTGCTTGCGCAGGCGGCAATGCAGATTGGCAGAATTTCTTGGCAACATCAATTATGTGGCAACGTGACTCAGGGTAGCAGAGTGTTTGTCTCCCAACCTGATGGTTATGGTTTCAAACCTGAGCTCTTGTGACTTGGTTGAAGTGCCCTCAAGCAATAGTGTGCCACCCGCCCCCGGTGCCAACACACAACATCGAAGCTTTGTTTGTGCAGTTGGAGACTCGAAGCCGCAGTATATCAAATTAGGTTTATGCTTTAGCGACTCCCCTCTGCAACCCCAACCAAATTAAAATCTGTCTGCATTTGATCTGGAAAGAGTGTCTGGCTTGTAAATGTTCTGACGAGGATTTACTTCAGGCAAATTACAGGGAGAGAGAGACAGGTTTCTAATGCAGTTAAGCTAATTAAATCAGAGATGTGAGGCTGCATTTGTCCACATCAGGGAACAGAATAGTGGCATGTGGATGGGAGGGAAGGTTACAAGGCGGGCAGCAATGTTTGGGGAACATTTGTGAAAAGGAAGCTTATCTTTCTCGATGGGATAATGTCCCCTTCCGGTCTCATGCGCAATCTTTGCATTTTCTTCCCAGAGAGGCAAATTTGCTCGTTTGAATATAGCATCTGCCAAGGGCCTGTTTTATATATCAGGTCTGGACCGATCAATCAATGACACAGTTATCTGTGCCTTTGCGTACTGTATTGTTAAATTGCACTATAACGTAATTAGGCCAGCTAATTATGAGAGCTTAAATCAATCACGGGTCAATAGCAGAACCCTAAGCAGGCAGAGTGACCATGACTTTTCAAAAGCCTCATCAATAACGGTAGCACAAGACCCCGCCGCTACGGAAAACAAGAGCCGTTCCAACTCGGAGGGGGCGGGATGAGTGGAAATTGAGTTATCATCTCAGGTTTTTGTCCCCGGCAAGTTTTACATTTGAGCGCGAATGAAAGGCAAGTGAATCAAATGGAATGTAGGGAGTCATTTACATTGAAAGAGCACTTCACATCAGTCGAAAAAAAAACAAGATTTGGGGTTTCTGATGTATGAAAGAAAACTTAAAAAGGCATATTAAGTTTTTAGACACCTGACTGAGGTGATGGAGAGGCGATGTGAAGAAGTAATTCTCTGGTACTGAGGATGTTGGGAGCGGACGGACTCCTCTAAATCTTGAGTCTCTACCAGTACATTAAAAAGGGGCTTGGTGGTGCTTCTCGGAGATTAATCATCATTTTGAGCTTATTAAGTGGGAGGACAGTCTGCTTTCAACTGCTTAGAACGTCAAATCCATCTTTTATGCTGTGAAGGTCAGTGAGCGCCAGTGAATCAGTGATGTTAATTTCAATGAGAGTGCACATAGTGTAGATATGAAATGTGGTTAAAAAAAAAAAAATCTTTCCGTGAATGAGCATCACGCATCACTGCACTGCCAAATTGCCTACTGAACGCACGAATGTGAAATCAACAAGTAGGAATCCCAACACCGAAGAATAACGCGGAACATGGAAAAGAGCATTTTAATTCCAAAGTCTTATATTCAGTGACGTTTTGACACTCAAACCTCCATCTTAAAGGCAGTGAACAGCGGGATTTGGTAAATGAGGGAGTGAGAATGTTGAACGATGAATTATTGAGAAGAAAGTAAACCGAAGGTACACATTTCAGATGATGATTATGGGGCTCAACAATTCATTCCACAGATCAATGTTTGCCGTCTTATTTGAGCAGGCGGCCATAATGGAAGGAGAGGAGCTCAAGGTGGTGTTGGAGGTGCTGCTATTTGGTTTTCATTGGAATCTGAGACTCTCGGATGAAGGAGGGACATAAAGCTATTTAGCCAAGTCTGTGTTTTTAGACAAGAGCAGAGATGTGTTTAGATAATGAGGAGCCCGTGTCGGATTCGTAATGAAGTCCCAAAATGCTCTGACCGGGCCACAGCAATCTCGTGAGGTGAAGTGCATTGTGGATCAAATTCTGTCGACAATCCAATATCAAAAGATGAAATTGGAAGTTAAAATATGCATATTGCGTCCAACTGTGACCACTCTTGTAGTGTAGGCGATGCAAATGAAATGTGCCTTTCAGTCTCATCTCATAATGTTTTTCTTCGGCATTGTGAAGATGATGTTTATTGTCGGCCGGGGCCTTGTTATATTTCTTCAGCAACTTAAAAGCATTTAGCCCGTAATGGGACCAATGAAAAGTGACGGAAGCCCACTGTGTTGAAGTGGCCCAATTTGACTCGCACTCTGGGATTGTGGGGGATATCAAATATGAAAACGTGAGAACCAATGGCAAAAACAAATTAAGAGGCACTCGTGACTCTGGTGAAACCCCGCTACCATGGCCAGGATTAATAAGGATAAGTGGCACAAAAACATGAATGGACGGACAGACAGATGGACTTGGTCCACGCTTGGAATGACAAATTTGGTTCATTTGTGTTGCAATAAGTGAAGTTTGGCTTTAATCACAATAATCTCTCCTATAAATGTCCGTCACATAAAAACATTTTGAAAACGCCAGGATTGGTCTTCACTAGCCCACTAAAACTGAATGACTAATGAATCCCAGGAATCATTTGACCAAATGGTAATTGTATTGTCAGATGAGATCTGTTAACCGCTGTCCATGCTGGTTTGGATCCAGGACGGCACCCCAATTTTATTCCCCAAAGTCATTATTGTTTGCAACTGAGGTGCACCGACTCCCAATGATTTGCGGGTAATGAGCTGGCACCGCCCTGTTCAATTATTCTCATTGAGAAAGTGATTTCTCACTCCACGGGGCAAATCAGAGAAGCCGAGCACATGAACTTTAATCAAGAATTACTGCGTTAACGAGCAGCAGCGCGGAGAGGACTCCACACCCAATGAAGCATTTGGATTGGAACTTGAGGCAAAAAAAAAGAACAGAAAGAAGAAACTGATACGTACAAGTGTGTCGTAAAGTGAGAATAAAAGGAGACAGGGGCCAAACTGTACTCTGTATGTATATATTATTTATATACAGTGTGGACACCTTTACTTACCCAGCTAAGCAATAACAGTAATGTCATTTCTAAAAGGTAGAGGAAGCTATCTGTCAAAAAAAAAAAAAAAAACTTTAACACAGGTCAGAACAGGTTTCTGTGGTAAGGACATGGGAAGGCTGTCAAGTCATTACACAAGGTCCCTTCCTGAGGTCATTTCTATTCTGCTCTCTGTCACTTTTGATAACTTTCAAATGGAACACTTTCCTACTCACAACTCCCGCACCCCCAACAGATGAAGCAATAGAGGTACCAGTGGCTGTAAGAGACAATCGCAAAGTGGACACGGAACATGCAAGTGTGAAGTGAGGAGAGAAGCATGCAAAGTCCAGTGGTGCGTGGCATTATTTTACAGATGTGATGGTGGGGTGACCCCTACCGTTATCTCATGCTGTGACTTGGCAGATGTAGAAAGATTTAAAACCTTCACCAAAGTGAACATCAGGCTAACGCTTTGAAAAAAAAAAAAAAGTTCATGACGCAAAACATACAAGATCATCCGTGAATGCCGTGGAGGCCAGACCTTGGGTGTGCATCGCATCATCTGGGACAGTATAATTGATCTAATTTACTAATGCAAGGCATGATGGAAGAAACCAAATGAACTTAGAAGTCCAGATACATTTAGTCTGCCAAATGAAATAAAGATGTAACCAAACTACTATAATTGGAAGACCATTCATCCTCCAGCAATATGATGGCAGGAAACAATTTTCCAAAACAACAAAGAGAGTCATCAGGGGCATGAAGTGGATGATTTGGACTGACCAAGTCAATGCCCTGATTTAAATCCTATAGAGCATCACATTATGCCCACTAAAGAGAAGACTGGAGTAATCTCTCCAAAGTGCCAGTAGTGAGTACTCATCAAATGGCAAAGCATGTACAAATGTGTTTTGGCAAAGAGCTACAGTCTTAGAATTCATATTCTAAATGTCACGACAGCACCACCATACCTGTTCTTGTCGATCAAGCCAACGGTCCACCAATGGGTGATTTGCACTTAGGGAGGATCTGGTCATCTCTCTTTGAAACTGAGCGGGCCGGCCATTGGCATCTCGTGGAAGACTCCGGTAGGCATGGCCACCTCTGCCCTTTAAAAGAAAGCGTAGAACACATTCAACTCTAATGACAGTTGCAAAGCTTTGCGACTAGGAGCAGAATGCACGGAAAATTCTGTTGCATGGGTTATCACTTGAATGGAGAGTTCATTTTGTGTGACCCAAGTACGGAATATGGGCTCCTTGGAATGATGAACTCGGAAGTTTATGCATGTGGATGAGAAAAGTTAGCCAGTAAAACATTTCCAGAGTTTAAAGTGGCCGCCACCAGCCGATGCCACTCTTCTCTCTGGTTCAATAGAGAGTGAATATCGGCTTTCTAAACCACTCAGATGGTAATCCAACCCTGCACGGGACTTTAAGTCTTAGCGGTGTTATAAATGTGGCGTGACGGGCCGGAGGAAGCTGCGCAGGCAAACCTGTTAAACTTTACTATCCAAAAAAGATTTTTCCGATAGCAAGAATGGCCTCTGTTTTCTGCCATACAACATAACGACCTCACCATCTCATCTTTACTGACACAACACTTCATGCAACCAAAGGGTCATCGGAAGTTGCATTGAAATTTAGAGTGCGAATAGCTCCTGGGAGAGTTCATTTTGTGTGACCCAAGTACGGAATATGGGCTCCTTGGAATGATGAACTCGGAAGTTTATGCATGTGGATGAGAAAAGTTAGCCAGTAAAACATTTCCAGAGTTTAAAGTGGCCGCCACCAGCCGATGCCACTCTTCTCTCTGGTTCAATAGAGAGTGAATATCGGCTTTCTAAACCACTCAGATGGTAATCCAACCCTGCACCGTACTTTAAGTCTTAGCGGTGTTAAATGTGGCGTGACGGGCCAGAGGAAGCTGCGCAGGCAAAACTGTTAAACTTTACTATCCAAAAAAGATTTTTCCGATAGCAAGAATGGCCTCTGTTTTCTGCCATACAACATAACGACCTCACCATCTCATCTTTACTGACACAACACTTCATGCAACCAAAGGGTCATCGGAAGTTGCATTGAAATTTAGAGTGCGAATAGCTCCTGTGATTTCATTGATAGCTTGGTGATTTAGCCGAACCGCCGATGCATTAAGGACCATGAAATTGTGAAAGACTCGCCCTGTCTTATATGCATGCTCGACCCCTGGCTTCAGTTATTGCTGATACATGCTTCTAACGCTCTAACTAAGTAGCATCTGCTCTTCTCTGACAGAGTGAGCATCGGGTTCTTGGTCAACTCCCTGCCCGAGGCCCTTCTCCCCCCAATCGCCCAGTTTAGACCAGCGGCCAAGCTCTAGGACGTGTCCCGGTTGATTCAATTTCCTTCCATTTATAGATGATAGAAGTCATTGTGCTCAATGGGACCTACAGAGTAGCTGCCGTTTTCTGTACCCTCTCCAAAATCTGCACCTTGAGACAATCCTGTCTCAGAGGTCTACAGACAATCCCTTGAACTTCATGCTTGGTTTGTGCTCTGACATGCACTGTCAACTGTGGGACCTTTTACGGTCATGAGTGTGCCTTTTGAATTAATGTCCAATGAATTGAGTTGACCGCAGCTGGACTCCAATAGAACATCATCTCAAGGATGATCAGTGCGAGCAGCTTGCACCTGATCTTAATTTTGAGCTTCACGGTAAATTATTAAATTGTCGAGCAGCTTATTTATAAGCAACAAAAGAATCAAATAGTATACAAGGAGGGCAAAACACTGCTGAGACCTTGTTGCCTGTACTGTATTTCCTTCGATCACAAGCACAACTAGTCAGCGCAAGCCAGGCCCGAAAGGACACCTTCTCGACCAAATAAAAGGCTTAATAGCCTTTGCCTTCTCTTCACTCAGAAGTGTTGCCGCTCTGACAAGTGGAGTGTCTTTAAAAAGGATTATCAGACGATGCAGCAAGACACACTAATCGTACGGAGGGTTGCTGTGTCACATCTTATGGACTGCATTGTCGTCTCAGAAAGAAGTAAAGGTCTGTGTGCACCACGTGGAGAGTGAGGCCATTTTTATATAGCGGTGGTTAATTGGCAGCCCTTTGTGTTTTCTAAGTCACAGGGAATATGAATCAGATTTGGTTGCTGTTATTTTTTCTGTGAAACTTGATAAGCAGAAGCTATATAAGTCGAAAAAAAATTATTTTCACCCAAAAATCAGAATGAAAGCTAAAAATAGTGTCACTCCTGCATAATGGAGGATTAGAATCTTGATAAGCAGAAGCTATATAAGTCGAAAAAAAATATTTTCAAGCTAAAAATAGAGTCACTGCTGCATAATGGAGGATTAGAATTTTTTATTATTTATGGGGATTTTTTTTTTTTTTTTTGGAGCCAGTTTGACACATTGTTCATTCACGTCAGGTTCCATGTTGGAAAAGAAAAAATAAAAGGAAGCCAAAAAGTACATTCAGTTGGGAAGCGTGTGATGCTTTTGGCTTTTTAAAGCAATGACTGAAATGCATTTGGGATATTTACCTTTCGTTCAAGGCTGTTGGTACCAGGGTTCGGGTGTGGCTTGTGGTTATACTTTTGGAAACCAGCAGTTGTGGTCCAGCGACTTGGGTCTTTTCTGGATGGTTCTTCTTTACCAAGTGGGATTTCTCCAGCTGGAAGTCCAACCTGGGTAGGATCACTACTGCGACGGACATGGAGAGGCATGTCTAGTCGGGGAAACAGAATTAAAAGGAAAATAAGGAAAAAGAAAACACAAAGCATTTTCCACGTCACAATGCATCCAGGAAGGGAGCATATCACACATGTGTGGTCAGTTGTGGCAGCACTGAGGGTAGTTTTCCCACTCAATAACTGGTCCCATAAAATATTGCATCCTTTCATATATGGAAGGTTTCTCTTGGCTTGAGTACTGTCAAAATAAAATGTGCAATAAGTCGATTTTCCCCCAAACACAGAATAGCCGCCCTTTTAAAAATCCTTGATTTACCCAAGTCTTAAAATACATGAAGAAATTCCAGCCATATAAATACATAACATCAATTCTAAGACCGCAGGATTTCAGAATGTCCGGCCTAATTCCATTAGGTTATACACAGTATGTAAATAAAGCTACACGGGAAACTCTGGGCTGTGCGTGACCGCGCGCAGTGACCACCATTCAACTTTTTGAATCCTGAGTGGAAATAAAGATGACGCTCCAATCCTCACTGCAGTGAAAACTTTCAGTTTGGACGCCTGCTGCTACAAAGGCAGGCCAGTTAAGTAGATCTGAGAGTTTAGTGAGGTGAGAATTATTAGCAAGCTCCCCAAAGGCCAGATGGATTTGTTTTTTATCGCTCAAGCTGCTTGAGCAATATATCCATAATCATGCAAATAGTTTGGTAACCAGCTGTCATCAATCACCGGATCAGTGCGGCGAGCATATGCCGGTGCTAAGCTTCCATCTGATACGCCACAGACAAGTCTTAGTCGTAGGAGCAGCGTAGATTAATCTAGCCGTACGCTGCTCTGCAAAACATGCATATTTAAAACGGTAGCTTTTAAAGACACCGTAAGCGATTCTTGCGGATGCCTCCAGTAACTGTGACAATAATGAGATTGCAAAAAAAGTCTGCTTGTCAAATGTCCACCCCAAATTAATAGCAGTAGGACTCAAACATCACCAAAAATGATGTTGCTTGTTACCAACAGATTAATAGCAGTAGGACTCAAACATCACCAAAAATGCTGTCGCTTGTTACCAACAGTTTTTTTTTGTTTGTTATATAAAATGTACAATAAAGGTTTTAAGATGGCAATAGGTAGACCCCGAAGGTCATTTCTCAACTGTGTGCCATTGTCCTTGATCCTCTTTAATCAAATGTATCAATCCATCCCAGTTACATGCTCCCACCCCAACCCAGCCCCCAAACATAAGACATCTTGACAGCAGATGAAGGAAATGATGTGAGTCCATTGATTTAATCAGAAGACTTCCTTGCTAGTGATTTGGATTTTTTTGTTTCTTATCCATTTTCTCCCCCCTCATTATGTCCTTCATGGTCAAGCAAACGATCTTGATGTATGGAAGGCTACACGTTAAAAAGATCTAGAATGTTTCCACATGCAAGGGCGCTGACTAATGTCTCATGTCCTGATCGGACCATCGAGACAGAAAATGCGTTAAGGAATGTGCTGATATCTGAACAGGGCAGCTGTTTCAGTCACAGAACATTAAACGGCTGTCCCCAGATTGCCAATGTTGGTGACTTGTTTCACTACATTTAATACATTTCACAGGGGTTTAAACGAGCAACGACCCCAAAAACATGATGGGAAGGTATATTACCTTGATTTACTCGACCGTTAAATCTCAAAGCACATTTAACATGTCGTGTGAAAGTGTAACTCTGACAAGAAAAGTTTGCATCAATGTGGATAAATCTCATTAGCATATGAGTGCATGTGTCATGGGGAATATGTCTCTCGCAGATGCATTTATTACTGCGTAGAGAAATAGCTGAATCCCTGCAGTGCCTGCCCACTCGCCGTGTGTGGAATTAAACAATCAATTAAATATTTTGGGGTTTTTTGCCTAGGTCTTAAAGTGTAGGTAGGGTAAGCAGAGCTGCAGTGTTTGCACAGATTACCAATAGCTAGTTATTGGTGCCACTACGTTGCCCATCTGATGGTATTTGTGATTGGTGATGTGTCAGCTGCATGCACCAGATGCATGGATCACTTATTGACAAGTGCCACAAGTTTGTGGATTGGTAATGAAGTGCTGCCTACACATGGCAAAATCCAAGTGAATCTCGATTAACCAGTGGTGTCTTCAAGCAAGAGTAATTTATGTGCAGGCCACACATTGAGGTTTAGTTAAAACAGCTGCTCTGGAGAGAGTCAACAAGTCTCTAAAATGATCTCATAACATTACAAAGTGTTGCTACATTTGTCGCTCATTAAATTATTTTAAAAATAAATAAATGAATAAATAAAACATGTCACTTGAGAGATCAGAAAAGCCACACACTATGGCGGCAAAGTAGGACAGATAGAACAGTTTTTTGTGAGCTCTCCTATTATGAAGATGGCCATATGAAAATGGCACCTCGTTGCCCCTCGTAACGTTTGCACCCATTTAATTTGTGATGGGAGACTGGGAGGGTTTAGTCCCATGTTTAATAACCAGACAGATTCCAACTGAGTCAGCCATCGATCCAGGATGAAGAGTAATCCAGAAGGCTGGGGTGGTGACGGGCTAATAAAAGGTGGCCAGATCCAGGAATTATGGCCAAGGCACAGGGTCCACACACAATTTACCACAAGGGCACGAGTCTAAAGGGCTATCACCTCTTATTGGTTTGACCTTTTACTATTTACTTCCACCTTGCTTGGAGGAGGCATATATTAGAGGACACACACTAGCACATCCTGATCATGAAAGACAGCTGAGTTTACGCTTAAATTGACCATATTATAACTGCAGTGGGTGTAGTTTGTCCATAGGCCATCACATGAAAACTATAGACCGACACAATTGGCTGTACCTGTATTTATTTTCTTTTGTCCAATTATTGGAATACATTTACACAAAATAAAATAAAAAATCTTTGGTGGAATGGTGTTCTACATTGTAGTCCAAAACAAATTATTTCCAAGTCAACTTGAGACAATCTTCTCAAGCAAATGCATGATGACGGCCAGATGTTGATGAAGCATGTCGTGGAGCAATTGAGTCAGAATTGAGTGCAGTTCCGAGATGTCACCAGCAGATGCAGCACTGTTGATTCCTCCTCAACTATGTGTCGTTAATGGAAAGTTGAACAACACTGGTGCAGACCTCATGATGCCAACTTCAGCAGAAATAAATAAAACGTGACAAAGAAACACAGCTCCACAAATTGGAGCGCTTCCTGCAAAGTGTTTTAACCCACAGTGTACTACAAATTATTTCACACAAAAAAAAAAGAAAATGTCAAAATGTGTCATTGGATCTGTTCTCTCAAAGCAAATTATTTGCAGTCACTCATTAGCTAAATTTCTGATACAATTAGCACAATGGCATGCTTTCGATGTGTGGCGAAGGATGTGTATATTTCTCTGGTGGCCTTTTTTGTCCTGGCGTGCTCTCAATCCATGAGTTCCCTTTTTCAACTGATATGAATAAAAAAATACCAAGTGACCGTGGCTTCAAGAAACCTCTAAATGCTCTTTTTTTCCCCCCTTGGGTTACTTTGAATACATCAAGTCTGTGCCCGTTCAATACTTGAATAAATTATGGCTCTAAGCCATTTTAACTCTCCCTCCCCAACCACTGACTACATATTGATGTCTCCAGTGTGTAGCAAAGGAGGATTTCCATTGCACACTGACCCAGACCATCCACATGAGTACAAAAGGCTCCATTTTAGGTGAGCGTATGGTGGTTATATAGTGGGAGGAGGCCTGGACTGTGACCAAAAATAAATGCGGGTCCCAAACCTGTTGTTTTTCCTTCATTATGGTAATAAATGTTAAGGAACTACAGATTTGGCCAACTAAAGAAGGTTGGCTGCTCTAAACTGTCAAGTAACTTGCCCTGTAACTTTCAAAAGGTTGCAAAAAAAAAAAATGTCTAGAGGAGCCGTGTTTGACCGTGATCAAAGCCGTGGGGCAAAGTAAGTACCCTGAAAGTGGCCCTGAGAGAGGCAAGATAGGAGTGTAGCGGAAAGGGATCGCCGCAGTTCTTTGGGGGGAAGGGGGGGTTGATGAAAAACAGGAGGATGAAAAGCAGCAGAATGTGAAACTTCAAAGAAGATGCGGCCAAGATGACTCATACCTCTGTTTTACAATATAAATTACGGCCAATTTGCAGAAAGCTGAGGTTGACTACTGACATGCAATAAATAAAATCAGAGACAAAGGAAGGAGCCAAAGAAAGAAAGAACATTTTACTTCAAATACCGTCCAAATATGTAAATTGTGTCTTCATATTAGAGGGCTGAGGAGCCCAGAGAACTGCTTGCATGCATCACACGCGATACCGTACACCACTGTGTGTTCTTTTGGCATTTTGGCACAGGTCAGTGCAGGAACAGCAGAGAGACAAGGGAGCCTCTCACAAAAGGGACGAATGAGGCAGGAGGAGGGGTTGTTCGCGGATCCGCAGGGATGAAGAGCCTGGAGACAAAAAGATGCTAAAAGCCCAAAATGGCTTTGTGGACTTATCGTGGCGATAGTGGGCGGCAATGCCCTCGGCTAGCCGTGAACCTCTTTTCACATGTCATGCAAATGAACCCCAGAGAGTTCAAAATGGCACACGTCGGAAATGACTTGTTATCCCGCAGGTCTTACGACTTTCGTGTTTCGCATTCTCTGTCTGTGCAGAACTGCATCATATCTATCACTGAAAATGTGTTTTATCTTCCGACTGAAAAGTGATCATGAAAGCCCGCCGTTGGTCTTATTGGTCTTATTTACTTGAATGAAAGCCAATATTTGGGACTGTCACGGCCCAGGAATCCGTCTTTGTAATTTGCCTCCGCAAAGCATCCGTGCTGCTGACATGACACCCGATTCGAGGCACACAAACAAACCGTCTTGCTTCCCATGCTCCGTGTCACAGGGTTAATGCCGCTCGCCATTTAAGTTGATGTCTCCATGTCACGACGCGTAAATCATTATGTTTCTCATTCAGGCCTGACTGCTCTTATGTCGGTTTAAGTGTGACACAAACGTTCAGCAGAATTGCCCTCAGCCGTGTGAAGGAAGTAATAAAGCAGTCAAAAAGCTCTTGCTCACCCACACACACACACACACACACACACACACACACACACACACACACACACACACACACACACACATATAGCGCAGCATGATTCAGCTGTTTGGCTATGCCTTTATTGAGACCCTTACAGGAGCAATAACAGGCACGGTACCGGTAACACAATCCCAGCAGTGCTGAGTGGGGTCTTTTGCCACTTCAAACACTTCACACTTCATTTCCAAAACGCTCCCTTCACCATTTAACACCGCTAGCCATTTCAATAATTATCTATAATAGGCTGGGGATGATATTATGACAGTATGAGTGTTTTTATGACCAATGAGTGTGAACTGAACACCCACTCGTTAGCAGTTTCCAAACCCCAGCCTGGGAACTGCCTACTTGCTCCCCCAACAGGACTGTGTATGATAGCCCCTCTGCTCAATAAAGTAGAAGATAGGGCTCAGGAGGTGTGAGGAGTTTAAAAGTGCTATCAGTGTTGTCATGACGAGGCAAGTTGATCCGGTCAGGCAGACATTCTCGCTGCCGAGTGTGTGATTCACTCCAGCGTGAATGAGCAAACTGAGTCAAGAGAGGTTATGCACAGATGACTGTCTGGAGGCTGTAGGGGAAAATATTGAGATAACCCTTATGGGAGCCAACCACATGGCAATGTGGATTTACCCATGAGCTTAAAACTGCTGTTCCTGTGTCAATAAAGAGTATGTCCCATCGATGTTTATTTACACCATTGCGTAAACATAACTGTTCACGAAGCAAGCAAAAATAGATTTGATCTGAATTGTCAAATCTAGGATAGAAATTTAATTTGAATTACATACCCAACTCTCCTATTGGGCAGCAAAACTGTTCTGACACGCTAAGGCATACAGGATCATAATAATTACAGGCCACCGTCAGACAGGACCTATAAGCACTTCATGATTCCCCTCATATCAAAACCTTAAGAATGTACTGCATCACCGGCTCATTGGTGGAGTGAGAGATTGAGGTGGTGCTTCTGGACCGAGGGGACAGATAAAGCAAGAAGGCAGATGACAGAGATCGGTATCAGAAGCTGCTATCAGACCGAGCAGCGTGTGGTTGCAAAACCTAAACCTGGTAGTTTATCTATAATGGGGAATCGTTGCCTTTGGAAGTCACCCAAAATCTGCTGGGTGAGGCTCCGATCGAGCAGCAGTCCACATCATGAGCTTAAGCCTTTGACAAAAAAGTTTTTCAAAGCTGCTTTTAAGACTAGGGAAGGAAGGGCACATTTCTCTGGAATTAAATGAATTTAACACCAAAAAGGTAAAACTTAGATCACGACAAGGTGTACGCAAATGGCATGTGTTTGTTGAACTGTATCATCGGGACTTTTATATGGCCTTGGCCGGTGCCATCCAGCCTCTATCGGAGCAGTTTTGAAAGACAAATTGGATTAGATAAAGGTCATCCTCTTCAAAAGGCAACTGATACAAACACTCAATTACTCACGCAAACAGACACACACACACACACACACACACACACACACACACACACACAGCCAATCCTTTTAATGAGCACCTGCCACCCTTGTCGGGGCTGGACAGTGGACAACACTCTGGTGAAGTTACTGAATCCGTGCATGTATTTCTGTTTAAATGACTTCAGTAAGAGTCTTTTATAATAAATATTCAAAAATCCATTCAATTCTATCCACCAAACCTTACCCACAATCCTGACTTAAAGCCTTACTAACATAAGGAAAATGTGTTCTTACAATTTTGATCTTATCTCCAGTCGAGTTATTAAAACTCTGACCTGCGTAGCACGTCTGAAAATCGGCCACAACGTGCTGGAAAGACAAAACAAGGGAGGCAATATTTGAGAGTCGTCAATGGGGAAATCAATCATTCTGGCTCCAAAGGATGATTATAAATAGTCTCCCTGCCAAGGATGACATCACACTTTGATTTCTGATAAGCAATTTCACCGCCGGTTGTTTGCTCATACACAACTCTGGAGTGAAGGTTGCTCCTTTCTTTGTTGTTTCTGTGCACAAGTGTGTCTGTTACTCAACAATATTGAGTCACAACACCCCGAGACCTTGAGCAAGCCCCGGAATTGTAATCAGAACTTACTGACAAAACAACAATGCCGTGTCTCATAGTCAATTCTGCACTTTCAAATGTCATGGACGTTTTGCTGTTGGTAGGCCAAAGAATTCAGTTGGCGGAGAAGAAGATTTCTTCAATCAAAAATGATTTTCATACTGTCAGGGGCCACGAACGACTCTCGGCAAAGCTTTTCCATGAATCTTTCCTGCAGACAGAGTGTGAGACTCCAGAATGAACTTTTATGTTGAGCCTCGTGCGTTCTGGTCATAGATGAGCTTTGAAGTTTGAAGACAGCGGCGCATCAGCCTACTGGTTTCACTTCACGCAACGTCAACACAGCGTGCACGCGCAACCTCTGAGTCGATGTCTCAGGGTGGCATTTCGGGCTTGCCAGCGTGTCCACCTTTGTTGGAACGTGCGCGCTCAGATTTGCGCATGACAGAACACCGCGACGGTGCCTCAGTTACGTTTCTTTGTGTGGGTTTCGCCTGTCGGTTGGAGTCAGCACATTGGCATTCCCTATATGCGCGGCATCGTCTTGACAGACAGTTGGCTCCGCATAGTACACCTGCAGAATGTCAAGTGTAACAATTGATTCCCCATCCCTCCCAAGTCCAACAATTGCTGGATGGAAGGTTTTTGGACGTTTGGAGTTGAAGAAATGCATTTTTCATTTTGTTACGAACTGACATCCATGCTGCCAGCTGGATTGATTTATAAAAAAAAAAAAAAAATGTCACATTTGTTCATCTGTTTACTTCACTCTTCCCCTAAAAGCCTCACAACAAATACACAAATAGCTGAATGCAAGCACATAAGTCTTTCCACTGTGCTTTTGTTTCATTTTAGTTTTTATTTTTATGTTTACACTGCAGTGATTTTATTATTATTTTTTTTTTTTGTTTGTTTTTTTGTCCATAGGGTGTCAGCTCAGTCCACAAAAACTTGGCTGATTTCTTCATGAATGTCACAGCTGTGGTGAGTGACACTTTGACACTCTACTTGAATACTACGACAGTAAGTTGTCACAAGTTCAGGACTCACTTGATCTCAAAGCCGATGGGGTGACCTCAATCTCGCTGTTGGCTTGGTAGGGCTGGAAGGATGACGTTGACCTCAGCTCGCCAGCAAACGGTTCGGGACTCTGAGTGCCTGTGGAGCTGGCGCTTGTACCGTCACCTCCATTGTGAGGATCTTGCTCTTCATATACAGCCACCAACTGATGAGAGAAAGTAGGTCATGACTATTATATTCCGACATGTTCACTCATCCATCCATCCATTTTTTTGAATCCACTTATCCTCACGAGGGTCGCGGGCGTACTGGAGCCTATTCCAGCTCTTTTCGGGCGCTTTTTGAAATGAGATGATCTGTGTTTTGGTTGCTCTCCACAGCACTGTGTCGTTTTACAAAAGGAGGCGGTTGTTTGTTTGTTTGGATGGGTGTGCTCCTGAGAACAACAAGGACAACTTGTTTTCGGTTAGTGTGGATGATCTGTGTTTTGGTTGCTCTCCACAGCACTGTGTTGTTATACTAAAGGAGGCGGTTGTTTGTTTGTTTGGATGGATGTGCTCCTGAGAAAAACAAGGACAACTTTTTTTCGGTTAGTGTGTGCCTGCATGCAGTGTTTCTGCAAGTGTGGTGACATGTTCTTGGAAGTCAAATTATATGGTGCAAAAACTGTGTTTTACTATTCGCAGTGATTGCAGGCAGAGAAGAGAAGGGCCCGCAGGAGAAATATACAAAATAAATGTTAATATCCACAGAAAATGCAACACTTGTATATGGTTAGAGCTTCATGTGTGAGGACCATCCTCTGCATATTAATTTGTTGGCTGTTTGCATCACACATGAAAAACTATATTCGGTGAGAAAGCATTCATTTTTCATTAAATTAACGGACAATGATTGTGCGAGTGTGTGTGCGCGCCTGTGTGAGACACCTGTGGGACTTTGCACCTGATTTATCATTGATGTAATTGACAGCAATGCCTCATGCTGGTTTTGCACAATTAAAGCAGGCTTCAGATTTTCCCCTGAGCTCTTTCTTGCGGTGCATACCAATATTTGTGGGAGATGTCTATCACTGAATCACCCTCTCCACCGTAATCATGCCGCATTCCCATCACTCCCCAATTGCATTTCAATGTTTGTGAGGGTTGATGGCAATTTTGCTCAGTGTACCAAAGAAACTATCAGAGTGGCTCTACAAGGCACTTGGCTGAAAGTGTACATATCAGCACATTCGAAGCTGTAGATTATGAAAAATATATATTTATGAATAACAATGTAAAATTTTCTGGACTATTGTGAGTTACGGATGTGAGACCCAAAATAGGAAACAATGCATTGGGGAGTTGAGTGTTGAGGATGGGGGGGGGCTTAATCAGGCTACAGAAACGCAATCAGCAATTCTCTATGATAATGATGACAGGGACAGCTGCGTGACAATGGCAACACCAAACACCAGAGAGCGAGAGAGCGAGAGATGCCCCCAGAGGTATTTTCACTGTCCAAAGTAAATGTGATGAGCCAATGAATAATTAGTGACAAAGTAATCAGGCCTCCTATTCATACATTCCTGGGAGTATTTAGCAACTCAATGAGTTCTCTGCCTGCCAGCTGTCCATTTAAAGACAGGATAAAGACTGTTGATGGTGTGGCGGAAAACTTTTAATACATTTTGAATGCGCAAAATTTTACATCACAAAATATGGTCAGTTTGCAGACACTTCATACAACAAAATTGAGGATCAAATGAACACAGGCTCATGCTTACCAACAACCATGTATTGGTAACAGGTCATCAGTTCAGCCATGGTGGTGCAATGAGTAGCAAATATCTTTCATGATTAGCCTACGCTCTCATTATTAATATGCATCTGAAGAAGTTTCGTCACTGGGTTGTTAAAAGTACCTGTCAATCTTATATTCTTGCCTCACTCCAACTACTTTGAATGTGGTCTCGGAAAAGAGGGCACTTTTGGCCAGAGGGAAAACTCAAGCTGTACTTGCTGCTGAAGGGACAGCTCTCACGCGGCTTCATGATGAAAGTCTTCACAGCGCTGTTTTCCCTTTCTTTGAGAATTTGTCATGGACAGTTTTGAAACAGCACAATTTCACATTTCGTTTTTGCATTTAAGTTATTCTCTGCTTAGCTTAGTATAGAAAGCGCTAAAATGCACGATTGTTTTTTTTTCCAGAAGGCCAACATGTGCGACACAAAGCAGCATGGCTAATTGACAAGAAGCATGACAGAAGCAACTTTAGAACCTCAATAAAACACAAAGGGTAGGGTAAATACAATGCGGAATATATTCTTATTTCCAAGCTCGAGATAAATGGTGAGCTGAATGAAAGAGAAACTCAATCTTGTCTTCAACAAGAGGAAATGAAATAAAACATTCCAAGATACAACACAAAATGCTTTATGAACCCCGTTGTCCCCCGAAGTCGTATGATATGACACATTTTACATATCAAAAGTAGGTATCACCTTCATGCCTGCAAACTCTGATGTGGACATGCTAGCCAGTTTATTTCCAAATGGAATCATGGGGGGAACAGAATGCAGCTGTCCCATACCTCAACACTTACCCAAACTAATTTGGGTCTACTAACTGTCACAACAACCGTCTGTCAGCCGCTATCTGGGTTCGGTTTGGGGTTAGCCGGATGAGAGCTGGAGAGCAACGAACTACCGGGAGATGATAAAGTTCAAGAGTTAAGATGACGCAGAACATGCAAAGGCATTTTCCTGCAACCGACAGGTGATAGTTGGGGTCCAATATTTCCAATTCCATCACAGTGAGAGTAGGAAGATGGGAAAGGGGGGCGGGGGAAAGTGTCAGCGACGCCTTTCATGTTCGTCACGTTTGATCCGTTTCCCACTTTTGGCAGCAAAGAAGGGAAAAGCACGAGATGGATGGGAAGCAGCTGACGACGAGACGGGGTGCTGTTTTGACAACCCGGGGCTCCCTTGGCTTCTCTCGTGTCTCGCTAGCCTTACCACTTCAGCAAAGACATCCACGTCCAAAAACCTCTGATCTGCCACAGAGCACTGGCATTAGGATTGGCAACGTTACAAAACAGTTGTCCCAAGTGCTCAGACAGTGACACCGTGAAAAAAAAGCTAGGCAGGGGAGCTGATTAGCAGTCGCGGGCAGAGCTGCCAGTACAACATGAGATATGTAATACCTGCAGTGTGATGATGCAAAGCTGGATCCATATTCCCCATGACAGATTTTTTTTTTTTCTTCAATGGCAAGTGGAAAGGACGGTTGACATAAGTCGCCCTGCAGGAAACGTGTCCTCTCCGCATTGAGAAGATATACTGAATTACCTGACAATGAAACCTGCTTTGGGAGCCTAAAAATGCAAATATTTGAGAGTGAAAGTTTTGGAAATTTGTCAACACGGAACGGATTCTACCAGTAATTGTGAAAGTCATACCCAAGCTGTTCCATTAAAACAGAAGAGCACAAACAGTCAACATATGGCGGAAATTGGGGACAATCAGCATTTTAAAGGTCTTGGAAGATGAGGCTGTGTTTACGAAAAGATAGATTTCATGTTAATTTGATTCTTAACCAATCAAGGGAAAACTTCTATCGCCAGCCTTTCGGTACGACATCACTCACTGCCTTTGGTTCCCCTGCCAAAATGTAATCCGGCATGATGAATATTTTTGGGTCTGCATAACCTTTAACAAAGGTATACAGAAATTGCGCATTGAACTCCACAGTCTTGGAGAGATAGTAATATGATAAATGGTCTTCTTGTGTGTTTAATTAAATTTGTATTAAACACACGGTCGGAGAAACAGGTGCAATAAAAACTATAAAGAAAACAAAAAAAAAAAAAGAATGCACGTACTGTGTAACACAAACAGCCCAAGTTTCATCTATCAAATCATTTTTCTTCATTTTATTGCAAGGGTATCAGGGGCACAAAGTTATTACAAGTACAGTAAAGGTAGAAACTGTGAATCATTCCACCAGAAACTCCAAGGGCTCAAAATGTTGAGTAATGGCGATGATTTGCCATTGCCTCAACTGCACTCCATCCACACCGCCTTCCGCAGTGCAACAGTCATGGGGGTCCTTCGACGCTTCCGTTTTTCATTACGTTTTTGATGGTCGTGACCTTGCATATTCTCTGCTATAAAAGTCACGAGCGTCAGAAACATCAGTGGACACGTCATCCTCCTCTTCCTGGCTGCGGTGTATTGCCCCTTTTGAATATTTCATGCTTTTCCTTCTGTCTTTTATTCCTCGCACATGCAAGTTGGAGCGAACCGGCAAAGTGCTTAGTCCTGTATTTTTCCTGCTCATTAAGGCCATCAAATATTCAGAGAATAAGTGTCAAGCACTCTGGCCTGCCATTGCGAGCATATCAAATAAGGCTAGAACGGTAACCCCGCCACGCCTCAGAAACGGATGCATATTTCAGGGGTTGTCACACAGGGCTGATGTAAGGGTAAGTCTTCGCAAGACATGGAATTGTGGCAAAATATCACGATTACCATACACACAGAAAAGATTTCCACAGGTAGAGCAAGAGTAACCCAAGGTCATGTTAAGGCGGGTCCGAAAACAAGTTTACTTTTTATGGAAATTTTAGGGAATATAAATGATGTTGAATGAAAATGTGAAAACAGAGAGCTTTACAATAAAAAAAAAAAAATTAAAAAAAACAAATCCAATCAATCAAACAATCCATTTAAAATTGTCCTCATTTTTTTTATGGAAATTTTAGGGAATATAAATGATGTTGGATGAAAATGTGAAAACAGAGCGCTTTAAAAAAAAAAAAAAAAACAGAAATCCAATCAATCAACCAATCCATTTAAAATTGTCCTCATTAATATCTGTTTGCCCATTCGAACCTTGGACAAAAGGTGAGCAATGGTTTTTCCGTAAGGGTCATGGTTCAATTTTGACTTCAGGCAAAATAAAAGGCAATTGAGTTTTCCATTCTTAAAATCTGAACAGTGTTATTTGTTTTAGGTAGATGAGGTAAGGATTGGAAGAAGCAATGCCATTTTTTTTTATTTCATGTTCCAAGTCACTCACCAAAGCAATCCGGTTCAAATGATATGAAATTTAACATTTACCTGCCTTTTAAATCCCACCGAATATGTGAGGGGGTTCCTGTGGCAGACGGTTGACTACAAATCCAACGACTGAAGCTTTTTTACTTTGAAAATGTGTTGAAAGT